AGTAGTATAGTGGTTATCAGCATAACAAGTGAGAATGACATGCAAAGTTCAAATTCTGGTCAAGGTCATTATGTTCACTTTCACACAAAAAAAATGTATGAATATGTTTTTTCTTTCTCCACTTATGAGTAAAACAGCAGAAAACAACTGTCGAGATTATTTACATTCAGATTGTCTTCACTTTTGCCATTATTATCATGTACTAGCCATTATGTCTTTCAGCATTCTGCAGGTATTTGTTAGTCATGTCACCTTCAGGTAATTTCAAACTGAACCCTTTATTTAACCTTTGGGCATATACTGTTCTTGTTCTGCTGTCCATGTCTAGGGATATCTCATTGTGTTCTTATTTACTACTGCTCAGTTAGACTCGGTGGAAAAAAGGTGAGCACTAAGTGTGCACTACCCAGAACAGGGATTGAACTCACAATTACTGTGTTACTAAATTCACAAGCCAACTCTCAGATTCCCAGAATCTGAGAGAAGGATAACTTGGAAATCAAAACCAGTTGGATATGGATCTGGAAATTCCAACTTGTAAAAAAAAAACAAAAAAAAAAAAACAAAAAAACAACCTACTTACTATATGTTGTAATGTAGAAAGGCTTACTGAATGATGAATAACCAAAATGGAGGTTGGAAATGAAATGTTAATCTTTATAACATCAACAAACTAAATACTCGCTAACAGTGTGAAGTAGGTAAACCACTGCTAGTGGTCAACTACTTAGACAGCATATAACAATAGTGTCCACTGTATTTATGAGGCTTGGGAATACCCATTAGTGTTCATATGTATGATGTATAACACTATGGAAACCACAGCAGCAGGACTCATTTGGTGAGGCTGTGGCCCTATATTCTACATCTATAGAGATCATAAAACAACCAGTTAATATTATTTGATGAAAAAGTTTTTTTTTTTATGAATATCACTACTTACAGTTTTAAATGAGTTTGACTATTTTAGTTATGACTTGTAGTTTATTTCCAATTTAATACCTGATTTCATTAAAATCTTTGAAGCAACCTATTTAGATTTCATTAAGATTTTAACGAATATCAAATATAGAGAAAATTTTGTGTTCCTGCCAACATTAGACCACCATTGTAAAAAGAAAACAAATAGTAATAAATTCAACTCTTAACTCGAATTTACATTTTTCTAGAATCCTGTTCATTCTCTGCACAACATGAAAATAAGAAAGCAAGTCATTTTCAACATAATGATTCTACTACAATAACAATTAAGAATCTGATGGTATCATTTCAAATTAATATGGAGCAATTTTGAGAGAGAGTTCTTATTTAAAAGAAAAAATTGCCAAATGCTTTTTTTTTTTTATATATAAACAAATATGATCTTTAAAATATTCCAGCTGTTGCCAGTAGTTAATTAGGTTTTCTTAAAGAGCTGCTTGTTACCAATTCCTTCACTTTTCTTATAAGCAGATGTTTGAAAACAAATTGCTACATATTACAATGCAAACAGTATAAAAATTAACTAAAAGATTGTATAGATAGCAAAATGCTATCAGTGAAGAAAACGTATTTGGCAGTTCGGAAATAAAGAATAAGCACTAAACAAGACTTGGACTTTGACAGCTAACAATGTAAAAGATAAAAACTATAGGTCAAAAGTTTGGAACCACCCTCTGGATTTAATAGTTAGTGTCGAGTATGTCGTCATCATTGAATATAAATAAATAAATGACAACTGCCCAACAAATAAATGACAAAGCTTGCAATAAACAATCAAATGAAAAGAACAAGGCAACAAATAATAGATAACTAACAAATGATATATACAAGCCAAATTAACAGTCATAAGGCAAAATAACAATAGTATGGCAAAAAGTTCACAAACTAAGAATTACAGTTGAAACACCAGAGCAAATTCATATGAATGAATACAGCATTCTGACCTCATGGCAAGACAGACCAGGACCAAGTCAGATGACACCAAGAACCAGACCATTTTATTGACAAAGAAGAAATCCCAGAATGCATTTGTGCTTTTGCTTATAAGTTGGGGAGGGGAAAATATTTTGCAATTATTCCAAGTAGTATTGAAAGTCACAATTAGTATGTGTCAAATCTATAGAATGCTGAAAGTATTTAAGCCATTAATGCATAGCATCCATTTTTTTTTTTTTTTTTTTTTTTTTTTTTAGAGAGGAGTTAATGGAATTTAAAATCCACCAACACCAAAATTACCATTAAAAGCAAAAAGAACTAAAACATAGTTTTCTTTAAGTTGTGATGGACTAACAATACTACTATTACCATTGTTATTTTTTATTGTTATTAGTATTATTATTATTAATGAATATATGATAAAAAAAATCCTTCAGGAAGCAGAGGTCCCTCTGGACCAAAGTGAGATAGTAAATTAGTTTTTGAAAAATCATGCAAACTTCAGATTTTAGAAAATCCTTCAAAATTTAGAGGGTGGTCCTATGGTATACACTGATTCCTTCTTTGACCCAAATGTCTGAAATAGTTTAAGACATTTGTTACAGTGATATCTCTCTATTTCAACAATAAAATGGTGAGACCTAGTAGAATTAACACAAACGGAATTATTTCTGAGTCAACTGCTGTGTTGTATACATTCATGTGTTGTGTTGTGCTTTTCTTTTCCAATTTTATTTTACTGTGACTTTTTCTCTACAGTGATTCCTATTGGAAAAATAGTTTCAGTTTATGAACGGCCTTCAGAAATGAATTAAATTCATGAACCGAGGTTCCACTGTAATTTCTAGGTCTGCTGCTAGGAAAGTTGGTTCTGTAAGTCTGTAATTTTATCAGTTCTGACTTAATTTCAATCACTTTCTCACTAGCATAATGTGGCTTCCCTGTGCCTTTTTCTATAAGCAATTATTCTAGTGAGTTTTCCTCCTTGGTAACTTGACTGCATTTAAGTATAATAATACATCGATAACTAGGTCTCACTGTTTTATTGTTGAGACAGATGTCACTGTAATGTCTAATAGTTTATTTTCCTCACCTGTGGATCTCACTTCCAGTTTCTTGCTTCCCTGCTATCTATGTTCTTCAAACATTTAAAAGCAACATCACCATCTTCTGCATTGTCTTTTCTCCACACTAAAGTTTTCTCTTTCACATCCAGTAACCCTCTGCATCATTGTAGTATTATCTCCTTACTAGGAGTGAAATGATTTAAAATCTTTTTTCCTTTAGAGGTTAATATTAATCTTTATGTAGCTTAACTGGCATAAGGCTACAATTATAGAGCACACAGTAAGCACTAAACTGATTGTAATAACTATCACAATATACAACATTGTTACTTACATCATTCACACTGTTAACCTTATCTTCATTACCACATTCACAATCTTTTGATTGTTGTATACTCCAGCCTTCTTCAGGTGATTGGAATTTTGAACTGAACCCTTTATTTCATCCATTGGGGGTAGATTGTTCTAGTTCCACCTGCCATGCCTCTTCAGGATGTCTGTTATTTCCCTTTAACTCAACTCTCCAAGTTTTTGTTCTCCACTGATGTGGCCTGGTATTGAACTCACAACTTTTTGGGTTTAGTCACTGGATCTAACCAACGTTTTTATCCACTGGGCCATTGTGAATATGGCAATAATAATGAGGACAACAGTACAAATAATGTAAATAATCATGATACCTCATCTCAGAGACATACGCAGATACATCATCTTTCATATTCATTAGATTAGGTAGATTGGTCATGTTATCAGGATGTGCGAAGTCAATCGCCCAAAGAGGATCCTATATAGGGAACTCTTGGTAGACAGAAAAACCATTTCAAAGACCACCTGAAATTAATGCTAAAACACTGTGGTATTAATCGTGGGTTACTGGAAGGTTGAGCAGCCACTCACAACAGTTGGAGGACACACTGAAGTCAGTTATTTTCAAATCTATCAATAGCCTAACTAAACAAGACTAGGAATTTTGCCAGCAACAAGACTTCATAATCACCTGGTGTATGAGCCACTGCCACCAAGTGTCGGCATTCAGTGTCCAACCTTTGGCTGGCAATGTGCATCTCAGTTTAGTCCTTGCAGCCATCAACATCAAAATAATGTCGTCAACCAGTGATTTCTTCAATTTTCATTTGGTGTAGTACATGTCATTGTCGACAGACTTTAATATATCGATTCATTAGATTAACTTCCCTCTAGCAAATCCAGTGAGGAAGTAAGAAAATTATGTTTTGGGCCAATAAGGATCTACCTTGAAAATCGGGATTTGAAATGCTGTCTTTACATGTCTATTGATACAAGTAATAATCAACTATTTTAATTCCATCATCTCTACTTCAATAAAATAAATGAACCATTTTTTCCAAAAACAGTGAAAGGAAAATGTCTATATGAGAACATTTTAGTCTAAAAGTTATTTCAAATACACATATAATGACTACGACTCCAATATATTATCAGTATTACTTTTATACAATAGTCTTAACTATTATTGTCTTGCAAGGTGTGTTTGGCCAAACAAAATCATTTGAAGTCATGGAAATACAGAGATGATAAAGAAAATAAATCTGAAAAAGGTAGGATTGCTGATATCCTAAAGGGGCACTGCATAAAAAATATAACTTATGCTACATAAATGAAATTTTGAATCAATTTTTTTATTATGTCTACATGCAAGAAGACCCAGAGAGTCTCATAAACACTAGAATGCTGCTATACACAAGATTAATTTATAGACCAGATACTGCTTTAAGGTTAAACCATGAAAGTATTCATCTACAACTGTTTTTCTTTCTTATAGAATGATGTCAATAACACCAACTAATTTTCTTGGAGTCGTGCCAAAGGTTTAACAGATTGCTTGCTTTCTATCCTGTTTCCACATAGCAGTGCACTCTAACCCACTTACAAGTGCAGATAGTTACAACTGAAAAACAAGATAATAGACAAATCAAAGTGATAGCAATTGTTTGTTTTTTTTTTTTTTTTGTTTTTTCCAAAGAACAAAAAACTCACAGTGGTGAGGAAGGAATAAACTGGTTTTCGTTTCTCATGGTATCGAACCGTAATGGGACTAAGGTCATATCGGAACCAGATTGTTGGCATTGACATTCCACCATGGCTGTGAAGAATTGTCTGAAATGGAACAAATATATCAGTGTTATAATTACAAAGAAATATATTTCATACAAGAGAAAAACAAAGAATTGAATCCCTTCTTCAGGATGTTGCTGATGATGGCTCTCTACAACATCCTATCCTTTGTAGTAGTGTTACTTTTTTTTTTTTTTTTCTCTCCCAATACCCGTTCTGCCATCCATTTACACAAGCTCTTTAGGTAGGTTACTCACTTCTTTCCTTTGTCCTCTGCAGATTTATTTTGAGACGAGAAAAATCTTGTTGGAGGTACACAATTTAATTATAGCAAAGTGAACAGACAAAATTAAAATGACAAAAAATGGAAAACAAGTACAAATAGTTTAATACAAAAGAGAAAAAAGATTTTAAAAAAATGTGAGCTAATGAGTTAATGATTAAAACTTTATTTTCCTTGATCAAGTTAAGTGAGGAGCAATAACTAGCTAGCTCACACCTTTATTCCTCTTTCTCTCTCATATTAAATTATTGTAGTTGTATGCCTTTTGCAGTTCTGTTTGCAATAACATAATAGTAAATTTAATAATCTAATGCTTAAATGTAGCATCAGAAAAGGACAAATGAAATTTCTCGGGAACAATGAAGAAAGTGGGCTTGAAAAATTTAACACTCACAGAACATTTTGAAAGCAAGGAGGACAGAAGAAAGCAGTGCGTAACCTACCTAATGAGCTTAGGTAAATATTTGAGAACAGGGATTAGGAAAGATAGCAAAAAGACAAACTTTACTTTCAACTCCAATATAAAGGATAGGCACATAGAAATTAATAAAACACTAGTAACAAAAATGTTTGTCATAGAATCTTAATGCCTATGGTATTCAGATATATTTGTTATTCATGTCTAAGGAGTTCAAAAAAAAATTAAAAAGAAATGAAATTTCTTTTTTTTTTTTTTTTTTAATACTACACATCAATATAAGGCTTAAGGTAGTGGATTACTCAATGAGATTTGTCATGTGAATGAAAGAGATAATGGGATGTAAATATTATGAGGATAAGCCTCTGTCATTATCTATCCTCCTTGTTTTCAGAAGGTTAAAATTATATATGGTCTGTTCCAAAACGTGGCAGTTCTTAGGTAAAAAAACTGACTGTAACATTGTTCTTATTTTGAAATCTGAAAGAAATGGTGATTCAAACCAATGGATATAGGGTTACTGAATGAGGTGGTTGTAAGGGTATAAACGAAGGATGAAAGAAGTGTATATTATGAAGATAAATAAGACAGATAACGGTTGACTTGAAGAGGTTAAGATTGTTCTCATGAAGGAAGCATCATCTCAGGAATCTGTTCCACAAAGTAACAGTTCTGGGTTGATTTGGTCGATTCATTTTTTATGGCTTATCAACCTTTTTCAGGTTATTTAAAGCCAGAAAATATTTTTAGATTGTAAGAATATTGTTTTAAATGATAATAGTTTAGTGATATGTCTTACCAATTAATCCATAGGTGGGACGAGAACAGGTGAATTCATAGCTTTCCAAAGGGTATTTGCATATAAGAGAATATAACAAACCCAACAAGAACTGGAACTTTGCTCTCCAATTAACAATTCTGAGCCCTATCCATTACACCACGCCACCTGCACATCGAAGCTTACAGCATCTGGTATTGCCAAGTGGTCACCCATCTAGCTACTGACCAGGCTTGACATTGCTTAGCTTTGAAACTCTGGTTCTTGTATGATCACCAATATGATGTGAAACATTCTCTTTACCAATGGAATAAAAAGGGAATGCAGATGAGTTTACCCTGTGTACGTGGTGAGTCCTAGCTGAGAAGGTATGCACTGGTAGAACAAAGGAATGTAGCTCATTTGAACACTTGCCATAGAAACAGCAATAGAGTAGTGAGAGATTACCAGAGTTTTTGCCTATGGAAAATAATTTATCACCTACAGGAAGCTAAGGATGATGTGCAGATATAGAAAATCTTAGTGATTCAAGTTCTCCCTCCTAATGAAAAGAACCTTGATGGAACTAATTACACTTGGTTTGGTTTGTTTAATGGCATATCAACTTCAATGGGTCATTTAACGCGGACAACATTTTTTTTCCTGGTAATATTTTTGTTTTGTCAGAAATCAATTTCTGTTAATATTTTTTTCCTCAAAAACGTATAGCTGGTAATTTTTTTTTTTTTTTTTTTGTTCAAAAATTTATTTCTGGTAATAATTTTTTACAAAGTATTTCTGGTATTAAAACCTATTTTTACACTTTTATAATGCTTTTTACCTCAGTTTTGGGGTTAACTATTTGCCCATAGCTGAGGGTGGATCTGGGAACAACACAAATTAAGAGGTGGTTCCATGATCAATAAAACCCTCCTGATTGGAGGCCTTGCTGTTGGACGTAGTTTATCGTCATACCCAGGACACTACTCTTGTGTTTCAAACAAGAGGAGGTTGGAACAAAAGAGGCAGATTAAAATTATTTTTATAATTTTAAATAATGAAGTGCTTTATCTTAGAATTCTTACAGCTCAAATTAAAGCTTGGCAATGGAGAGCACTGAATAGCACATCAATAATAGCAAATCTTGAAGTATGCAAGACCAAAATTTAAATGCAATAACATTATGAAGAAACACCACACAATAAAAATGTCTCCTTCAACATTTCTTATTTTATAAAAGAAGCACTCGATGTCATGCAATTTCATTGACTTTTTGGACATCGGAGCAATTATGCTTTCCAATGGTATCCAGATTTTATAACATTTTCACATTTCCCTACCTTGGGCAGTCTGCGCAGGTTAAAATGAATTTTGTTTCACAAATTTGAGGTCATCCATTAAGTTGTGCAGATTTATTAGAAAACTCTTCAAATGTTGCATTCTCAGTCAGTCAGAAATGCAAAACAGTTTTCTTAATGGATACAGGAATATGCTCAACTTGTTCTTCAGGGTGCAAGGAATAGCATCTTGAAAGGCTTGGCATGTCAATATGTGCATGAAAATCTATTCATAGAAAGGACATAAAATAGAATGGTGCAACTGCAAGCTAAAATCAGAAATATCTGACTGAAATGATATGAAAATCGATATCAAATATTATTATGAATGCATGTTGTTTTGAATAAAAGAACTGTCAACTTTGAAACAAGCACACTTCATTTCATGAACTATTTTTTTTTCCATTTCACTTTAATATGTACTGACAATGAGGGTGGGGTGGCGATGTTGATGACATAGGTATTCATAGCTGGGATAAGAATGAACTTCAACAGGAATTTCAATGACCTTACAAAGTCTTCCAAGAAACAGGACTCAAGACAAACCTTTCCAAAACAGAAACTATGATTTGGAATTGGAATGAAAGCAATAATGGCATATAACCTGATTCCAATCATAAAAATTCAGCATGAGGAATTAGTAAATACTAAACACTTCAAATACTAATTATAACAAATTTAGTACAGGAAATAAGGAAATTGAACATCTGATGACTGTGCTAGAGGTAGTTTTGCCCAACACTTCCAATTGCTACAGAACCAAAACAGTAACCTGAAAACTAGTCATGTTCTTAAATAAACTCACCAGAAATAGACTTTCAGACAGATGTCATGCATGCACCAAACAAATTTCGAAATATCTTTTTTTTTTTAATTATTCAAGGCAATAAAGCCACTAAGATGCAAGGGGTTACTGTGTGTTAGAGAGCATGAGAAAAATACTATTAGGGAGAGTTAACAATAAACAAACAAAAATTAAAAAGATAAGACAACAATTGACATTGTATTTAACTTTTTGAAAATCAAAGTTGACTGGAAAGCAAGAAGCTGAAAAATTTCCACATGTGAGAAATGCAATAGAAGAAACTCTTAACATAAAACTGAGTTATATTTAACCAATTTAAATGTAAAATGAGGAGACCTTGCTGCAAATCTAGCATTTAAATTCATAAAGTCTAGGTACCATAGAGGAAAGTTCAGCTAAACAATTACCATGAAAGTATTTATAAAAAAGACAGAGGGAAGCTACATTACAGTGGAGGGAAACTGACTGAAAGCGAGATGTCAGGACCAATAAGATTGCAGATTCTTTGGATTTTATAAAGATTCTCTAAATGTGTAGCAGGAGCCAGTGGCAGGAATATTCAAAGCATGGAAGAATGGTAGACTTATAAATATGTAAGATAGATTTTAGAGAGAAAAATTGTCTAGCACAACACAGTGAACCAACTTTTCTAGCAGCAAACCTAGGAATTAGTTCAATTATTCTATTTCATATCAGTGGAAAATGTTTGCCCAAGAAGGTGCAATGAGTCATTTTCCAATATGTTAGCATCAGCCATGCAGATGGAAGGCAGAAATGGGCCTCTCAGATGATTGATAAAGAGTAGTTTAGTTTTGGAAGCATTATAATTAATAAACCATTCCTTACCCCAGTTAAACGGATAGCTGCATACAACTGCTTTGTCTGATCAATGGTTAAAAATGGCCTTGAACAAATGAAGCCAGAAGGTCTTGGCAAACTTTTTCAAACCTTGTGGACTGGCACTACAGAATCACAAACTGTACCAGATAAAAGAAACCACATCACTTGAGGACTTTCAACAGCATCAACAATTAAAATGAATATTGCATGTAACTTAAAGAGAAAATAATGACATAATCAAGATGCTGATATTCCACACTACTTCAAACAAAAGTTTAGGAAGGAAACTACTTCATCAATAATTCAAAGAAAAATAACAATTACTGGGATCGAGAAACCTATTTTCCTGAAAAATTGTTTTTTAAAAAATAATAAATTTTTAAGCAAAAGTAGTGCTGCATGCTCTGCCAATAAATGTTAAATGTTTCTTTATAAGGAAATGGTTATTATTACCATTACTGAAAATGTTTTGCCCTGATTTCCACATATTTATGAAGTATAGGAGCAAGAAAATGATGGTGAAATGTTTACTTTTACTTAAAATATTAATAAAGAGGTACAGGAAGAAAAGAAGTGGCCTCATATTAGTTGCACAAGAAGCT